AGTCTCCGATCAGCAACCAACAGAAGCGTATGGACCGCTGGGCCGAGCACTTTCACTCGCAGTTCAACTGGCCTCCACCATCCAACAGGACATGCAGTACACGTTGTTGTCCACCCTGGCTCGTCCCACTGAATCCACCCAGCGAAGCGGAAGTCTGTCTCGAGATTCGACACTTGAAGCGGTTCAAGGCTGCCGACTTAGACGGACTTCCTCCGGAGCTGTTCAAGTACGGCGACGTGGCGATCATTAACCAGCTGACCTCGCTGTTCGCAAAAATGTGGCATGAAGTGCAAGTGCGTTCCTCTTAAGGCGAATCAGTTATTGTCCTGATTTTCAAGAAAGGCGCTCGCACTTCATGTGTAAATAATCGCGGGATTAGTCTTATTTCTGTTGCCTCCAAACTATTGGCATCCAGGCGCCTTAGATCATCAGACCGAAGCGGCAAAATCTCATTTCCACGGAGTATCACGACCCCCACCGTGGCCTTGCAAACACGGCATTTCAAACGGAAGGAAACCCCTTCCTGTCACCAAAGATGTCGCAGATTCAAGAAGGCGGTTTTGGCTTTTGCAATATGTGAACTGACTTTAGTTGCTATGCACCCATCGTTGCTGATGTAGCTGCCAAGGCAGGTGAAATAATCAACTACCTCGAATTCCTCGCTATCTATGGTCAAGGGATCATCAACTGGCTGGTACTCCTATGGCAACAATGTGCACTTTGATGGTGCAAATCGCATACCAGGTATTGCGGCCATTGTTGGCTATATCTGTGGCTTCAGAAAGGCGTTTCCCGCATTCTAAAAGGCCGCAGTGAGGGCCGTCTTACTCAACGTAAGCCAGATTTGGTCCCTCCGCTTTGATGATCTACAGCGCCTTCAACTCTGATCGTCGTTGTCCGGTGTCGGATGGCACCAGCGGGCCCGCAACGATGATGTGCGATACGAATACTAGGCAGTGATAACCAGGCTAGTTCCTTAGAACAACAGATAGCACTGAATAAGTCGCGTTGGCTTGGGCACGTTCTACGCATGCGTGGTCACCGCTTACCGAGGAGCGCCTTGTTTTATTTGCCAGATGTAGGGTGAAGCAAGGCCTGTGGTGGACAAAAGTTGACTTGGCAGCCGGAACTGAAGTCACTGACGACCAAACTTGGTGCCGTCGGTCCTCCTCACGTTCCAGGAAGGAGTCTGTTTAATGTGTTTGGTGCTATTTTATCTGCGGGACCATGGCTGATTATGACGCGATGCAATGAAAGCCGCAAGGAAGCAGTCTCGCTGATGCCGCCTTATATTTGTACGATAGCCAGCTGTTTGTGCTGGTATGTTGTTAACACAAGATGTAGGCACCTTGACCCCGAGTTTTTGTTAAGGGCATTATGGTTTTACCATAGGTCCCCCTTCTCTCCCTCCTATTGTTTTTCGTTCAGTTGGTCACCGTCGTTGCACGGCAACCAAGCATCATTTCAAGTGGAGGATTCATTGTTGTTGATAATGATGATGACCACTCTGGACAGGCTATTCAGGTTTGCTTGGGCCATCTCAACACCGTTAAACAGCAGTACGATATCGTCCGCATAATCAAGATCAACTAACCTTTCACTAAGCGCACCTCGACGCCTGCATCGTGAGATTCCGCAACTGACTACTCCATGATGGAGTCCACGACTAAGTTGTACAAAAATAGGGGAATTGGGCAACCCTGACGAACGCCACTTGTTGTCGGATAGATATCCGACAGGTCACCGTAGACCCTGACGCGTCCTGTAGTGTTCGAGTAATTTGTTCATATACTTCATGGGAATACCCTCCCTGAGCAAGGATTTCGAACAGAATGCGTTGATCGAATAAGTCGAACACAATCTTGAAGCCCAGGAACACAGCTATCGCCGGTCTACGATATCCGTGTCGCTGTTCTAGCACCTGCTGCGGAGTGAATATGTGGTCTATACAGCCACGTCATGGGCGGAAAACTGCCTGCTCTTCCGTATTCTGGGATTCCCGTTGCGCAGTGAGCCGACGAACGAGAACTGAGGCTAGTAATTTTGTCATCATCATCATCAACAGCAGTACATCAGCCATTTGAACTGATGCTTCGCTGCCATACAACCATGAGGACCTATGAAATAAAGTATAAGAAGAGAGAGAGAAGGGGGACTTTCCTGAAAACCTTAATGCCCTAAGCAAACATTCAGGGTCAAGGCGCCTACACCTTGTGTAGACAACATACCGTCACAAACAGCTGGCTATCGTGCAAAGATAAGGCGGCATCGGCGAGACAGCTTCCTTGCGGCTTTCACTGCCACGCGTCACATCTAACGTTAGGCTAATACCCATGTAGTTAGCGCAGTTGGTGTGTCCTTCTTACACAATGCCACTATAGTCGATTCACTCCAGTTAGCCTGGCCGTTTCCCTCATTCTATCCGTGCTCGAACAGAGAGGTCAGTGTTTTGTAGAGGACCTCACCTCTGTCCTTAAATAGTGCAGGCGGGATGGAATTCGGACGATCCGCACGAAAGGGATTGAGAGCGTGTGATCGCCTTTCGGAGCTCAGCTTCCTCTAAACTAACCGTCCATGACTGATGTTACATCTCCTGAGTAGGAAGAGATCCGGTAACAGGGGGCCAACTGTATTGATCCCAAAAGTGTTACACCCCACGGCGCTACATCTTGTGAATCAAGGTAGTCGCGCTGTCTCTGATTATCTCACTGACGCCTGGTTTACTGTGACCATTGGTGCGGATCAGCTGAAAGAGCTTGCCGTAGTTCCCTACTGCTCTTGCCTCCTCCATTCCTTGAGCCCGACTGGTCCACCAAGCTTCCTTGTCAGCTCGCAGGCTCCGTTTTATTTCGCGCCTAATAGTCCGTCTGGTCACATTGTGCTCAGAACCAGCCGGGAGTTTTCTTTTAGATTCTAAAAGGTTCACCGACCTTTCGGATATCCTGTGACTGGTGCGGTGACGATTGAAAGTACCACAAGCAGATGTTCCTGCGTCCTGCATGGCCACGGAGATCCTATTCCACTGAAGTTTAGTGTCATTAGGACAATGGAGAGAAATTTCGGAACACGGTGTATTTTAGTAGACTTGCCTGTTCGAGGGCTTGGATATTTTCTCATTTGCCGATCGGGAGAGACGCTTATTGCGCCTCCCAGTAAAGATCATGGAAAAGCGACAGCGTACCAACACATAATCACATTCGACCTAAGTACTGCAGAACGAGCGGCAATACAGGATGGAACCGCGCCACCTGTAACTTATGACAGTGTGACCTGTTTGGGTCCATCGCTGGCCAGCTACAGACGGGCGCCAGGTAGCACTTCGGCGCCCCTGTGTTTGAAAGTAGTACTACTAAGAAACAGCTGGTGCTCCGCACTTATTTGCAAAAGGCACTCGCGTTGTGCGTGCGGTCGGAGATAAACCCGTAATTTGTACCTAGCTTCTGAAGAGTCCGGGCAACCTACTTGTGCACTCATGTCCACTACTAGTACGATGAGATCTGAGCTGGTAGCACTGCGTATTGTCGTATTCAGTTCGTGATAGGATATATCCTTGACAGCTACAAAACTGCAGTCGTTGGTAGCATAAGCAAAACCACACACAAACAGCGTTTTGTACTACTTCCTGAATCAGCCTTGGCCGAAGGCGTGAAACGGGCTGCACACAAACGGCTGTTCACGAAAATCCAATCGGCCATCAATGACAGCCTTGGAGCTTAGAACGATATCCATCCTAGCTTTACTAGTGATTACCGTAGCAGCATCTCCAGATGCGTGCAACCAATAGTGAGAGGACAAATCGGGTGTACTTAGTTTAACAACCTCGTGATCATGATTTCGGGAACACCACACACCTCAATACCCAACGTTTCCAACGTGCGTGCGAGTGCAGCCTGTTGGCCTATTTATCTTCGAGTGCCAACGTTGAACGCCTCAGGGAAACGGAACAGCGTGGCCTTATAAGGAGCTGTTGCCGATGAGCGTCCAGTGGGTTATGTGGAATATATATATGGTTGGCGGCATCCGGTTTCGGATTCGCCTGTCACTGTGGCCGGCCACAGGACGCCTGCGCCTACAGAGGGACCATAGATGGCTTGCGCTGCACCACCCACAGCTCCATCCAAACACCCCATATCCAGTGTAAACCCGAAGGAATAAGACCGGGAGGCATGTGGATGGGAGCCACGTTTCATCAACGGAGCCGGCCCACACTCCTTCACAGGCAACCACAAGCACGCTGTATTTGGGGAATCAATCGCACGCTATATATATATATATATATATATATATATATATATATATATATATATATATATATATATTTGTGCCCTATGCTGAGGCTGATGTTGCATTCATGATGCTTCTTCACCGCAGTTGGGCTAAACCAACTTAAACTAGGTCTTTCTAAGCTGGATAAATTTCATTCCACTTTATTTGGTTCGTTCTGCCTACCCGACTAATCGTCGATTAACTGGCCACGTTACTTACGCTAATTGTGGTCACCTTCGTTAACTGTATTGCGTTTGTAGCATTTTTGAGTAACTTCTAGACATTTTGTACTTATCGTAGATTCGTTGCTAAGCAATTTACTTCATATGCTATTATATATATATTATATATACATACATATATATGTATATGTATATATATGTAATGTGTCAGCTGTACGCCGTAACGGCGCTTCGCTGCCGCGCAACCACCACCAGTCGCGCGCGGGCTGAGTATACCGCGAGGACCCCCACCTCTACGCGGATTCTAACCGGTGACCTTATGGTTGCAAAGGAAACGTGCAGACCACTCGGCCACCGGCCGATATATATATATATATATATATATATATATATATATATATATATATATATGTATACACTGTTGGTCCTCACTTCCATTCACCTACACAGTGTACTCTACTCGATATTTGCTTCCATGTCTTCCAGTTTTGACACTTTCATCCCGTTCCTCTAATCCATCGTTCATTGTTCACTGCTCTTTTCACCCGACAGATCCTGCTCCTGGTTCCATCGGTCCCAGTATAACGGCCCTAGCTTCAAATAATCCGGCCCCGTCGAATCAAAGCGTCTTGACTGGCTCGCTCGTGAACCCCTCAAATGTCGTTACACTGTTAAACAATGGAGCACCGGCACCTAACCACGTTGGCGCTAACAACGCTGGTCATCTTTCTAACGCTATTCTACCCTACGGTGTAGTTAATGCACCGAATGGCGTTGGTCTTCATAGCTGTGGCAATGGAAATGGAGGCAACCAAGTTGGTAGTGGCTGTTCTCCCCCGATTGTTGGCAGCGGAGGTGACGAACCTCCGCTTAATATTGGAATCAGCGGTGGTGGCGGTGCAGGGTCAGCCAGCAGTGCCGGGGCCGCAAGCAACAGTAGTGGGTCCGGTGGCGGTGGCGGGGGTGGTGGATCCAGGGGAGGTAGCGGTCCAGGTAGCGGGAGTGGACCATTCGCTCCATCCCAACAGTCCTTGGTCCAGTTTGAACCACCTCCGCGTCCTGGTCGAGGAACGGAAGGCCGATCGATCAGCTTGAGGGCAAACCACTTTGAAATTCGCATGCCAAAAGGATTTTTGCACCATTACGATGTATCAATTACCCCAGAGAAATGTCCGAGACGCGTCAACAGGTTAGTACTCTGAACTCGGTCACTTACTGGATCAAGTGAAACGTTCTACTTCCGGTTTAGATTTCTGTGGCATTCATCCGTTTATTTTTCTTTCTTATGTTACATGTTCACCTCATTCCAACCTTCCCTTCAATCTTCAAAGTTGACATGTTCTCAGTTCACTCCATCGGTTGCCTTTTGACACTACTTAACGTGGGTTTGTTCCCTCACTTACGTACTTATTAATGTCGCTGAGTTGAAACTAATGTTGGTTAGCAGTGTCAGTCAAATGCCTAATGTGACTTTACCTTGAATGTCCTGTCTCTCTCCCATGCTGACTTCGTGTATGCGCATCAGTCTCGTCTGATTAGGTTAACACTGCGCTAACAGTACCATCGCCATCACCCCATACGTGTTGGCTCAGGTGAGAGAGTCCTCAGTTGTGGTGCCGCAATCCAACGCAAGTATATAGTCTGAAAAGGAAGGAAAGGAAAGAAGCAATAGCAAAATAAAATGGGTGAAGCTTTTATACTTTACTATACATCAACACTGAGATCTTGATTGGTGGGAGAAGCTAAACGAGAGGGTGACGGACAACGAAACTCAAGACGCCTACATCATTGAGATCGGCTGTTTACAAGAGGCTCCAACCAAACGTGTTCATCGTCCTTCGGACCACAATCCGAGAGCTTGGAGGCACCAGCCAAGGCCAACTTCGAAGTGATAGTTTTCATTCTTATTGACCAAGTCGTTGGTTGGCCTCCCTTCCTTCCAACCAGATGTCGTTCATACAAGCGACTCACGTCGCAGGAATCGGTGTGCTGACATGCGTAACCCATGACCCAGCCATTGGAGTCTGACACGTGAAATAGTGGTGCTGAGAAACCCACTTCCTCTTCCTACACCATAAATACGACATCGAGCACGCTCATTGCTCACGCGGTGATCCCACCAGACAAGGGTTAAACTACGTAATCACTGGTGGTCAAACGCAACTATCCTCTTCACATCTATCGATCTGATGAACCAACTTTCGCAACTGTACGGTAGGGTTAAACTGATGGCTACCTTATAGATTCTTCTCTTCAGGGAGAGATTGATGTCGTTTGCTTGACCATATGACGAATTTAAGCAAAAATGCCTCAATCTTCGCTCGCACGGTTTTCACTTCATCCTCTATTCCACAGGCGCTTATACAGCTGTCAGATGATACATTTTTGAACAGTTTCCAATTGATCTCAACCGAGGTTCAGTGCAGGGGGTAGTTCTTGCTAATATTCGAGGAAAGTTTTACATTTAAAAGGTGCAGAACAAAGCCCGTAACTGCTCACAGTCAGTGCTAATCTGTCCAATGTTGCGTGGTACATTTGTGAGCTGTTACCGATGTGGTCAGTATCGTCCGCGTACTCGAAGTGGAGAATTCGATCACCTAAAAGCGGCTCCACACCTGACAAGTAGTGTCTGTTGAACGCAGTTTCTATAACTGGGTCAATTTCAAAATTGAGGAGGAAAGGTAACAACACTCATCCATCTTACACCGCTGAATATTGTAGGATGGTAAACTCGTGTTATAGTCGCCTCACTCTGTCCGGAATACACGCGCAAAGCGCTCTCATAATAATTACGTATTCCTCGGCCGCATCTCTCCTGAGCACAGTCCTAAAGAGCGCATCGATCCACTGGATTGGCGTTCCAGCAATTGAGGTACATTGGAGATGTGGCGGATGCAGCCTTGACAAAGCTCGGCTTACTCTTCACGAATCTAACTTTCACGAATGGAAGTCAATCTGTAAAGGACGAAAGAGACGAACAACTTACAGGTAATCGAGAGCAGACTGATTCTTCTGTGATTGCCGCGTTCCCAAAGTGATCCGCCCTTGAAGATCAGGACAATAACGGAGTAGCTACAGTTGGTTGGGACGGTCTCCTGTTTCGATAGTTTCACGAACAAATGATGTAGGTCACACAATAAAGCACGACCCCCTGACTTTGAAGAGGCCAAGGTTAAACTTTATACACTTTTGACAGTCTGATCTCACATTCGACTTCTGCGCATGAGGTTAGATCCAAAATGAAGGCCTTAGATGTCGAGCTATTAGTGGTTGGAAGCCCATCTGATAACAGGCCGATTAAATTGTCTTTCAAAAATTTCAGTTAAATACTCCAAACATTTTAACAAATTTTTGTATGCTGTCCACTCTCATCGCGCATAGTTGCAGTAACTACAGCTTTGCTGCTAATCCTTCCCGTACCCTACGAAATGACTTCAGACGGTTAAAAAGTACAGTGGCGGTTTCCATCTCCGATGCAAAATGTGACCACTAAGCCTCGCGGTCTTATGAGTTTGGCCCACACTTTTCCCTGAAATGTTTGATTATTTTCCTTGTGTCGCCGAGCATCAGAAATTCCAGTGACTGTAGAGATCAAATGTCCAGTCTGGCAATTTGATTTTCACATTAAGTCATACCTGCTGCTTGTAACATCTTGCGGATATACAACAGTGGGTCTTTAATTGTATTCATTGTTATCTAGCTGATCGCAGATGCCAGCGTACTTTGATAAGCTTTTAGCTAGAAATCAGCACGCGCAAGTGCATGGTCGGAGTCCATGTTTGTGCCACAAATCCAGCTACAGTTTTGAACACAACTTTTCCAACGGTAATTGGTCGCGATATGTTAATCCATTTGCGTCTAAGACTAGCCCGAGGCTGATGTGTTCTGTGTCCATGTTGGTGCTTGCGAGGATCGTCTTCACACAGATGTAGCAATTGCTCATCATTATTATTACGAGCACCTACACTTTGTCGGCGGCCCTGATGCAGCTTACCAGTGTGCGCTTTTATAGCTTGTGCTTTCAAATCGCCAGCCCCCACCACAGCATCTGTGTTTCTGTGACCAAGCTGGTCGTTCAGATGACGATAGTAGTCATCTTTCACCGAATCAGTGCTGCGATTCGTGTGGGCTTATGTAGCGGTTACAAATTCAAAACTTCGAAGGAGTCATCCAAACTGGCGACGCATATTCGGTTACTGATTGGGATTTTGTCGATAAGAGCAGCCTCTGACTGGGAAGCCCGAGCAATGCTTACCCCGACCTGATCGGCGTTTGAAGCTGCGCCATCTCCCAACAATCGTAATGGGAAACAGTCGTTAGTGTCGCATGTAAAGGATCGCAGAGTGAGTACGGAGTTCGTGTCTTGCTGGCGAGCTTCTGATAAGCTGCAACTATCGTTCGATTGAGTCTTTTATGTTGATCGGTTTGCAATGAAGTGCACACGTCTTGGCATACCAGATCACTATGGGTTTAAACTATTAAATGACATCAGTAGTGCACTAGCACTTCCTACTGGTGCTTCACTGCCATACAACCACACGTGTTTTTTGCGGTATGAGACACTGCAGCGTCACCCAAACCCATGCTGTAAATCGGAGGCTTGAACACACACGTAGAGTGCATGCCAAATGCAGTGTACTCTTTTTAGCGTCTCAATTTCAAATTTGTCTTATCCTTTCCCCACGCCATGTTATTGCTCGAAATTGTGTTAGATTACGTAGCTGCACGCATGCAGCATTCTGTCTTCTTTTATCAAACCATTTATCGTTTCTGGAAAGACGTACCTTCTAACACGCTTGCACGCTGCATATTTTTGAGCGTTTCATCGGACTCCAACCTCGCAAACTGTTCCAACCGCTTACTCGAGACCACGGACTTCCTGTGCTCTAGTATGTCTACGGTGTGCCCCCTTATCCTGAGTTAGCTGTCGTTGGCCTTCGTAACTATATGCCTCCCTTCTTGCAACAACTAATCGGTTAACTGATTCTGCTTTACCAAAATACTACTTCTGGCTCCCATTTCGTTTACAAATATTGTGTTGTCGTCGTTCATGACCTTGTAGCTGATGCATTCTTTTTTTCTTTACAGAGAGATAATAGAGACGATGGTGAACTCAATGCACTATCAGAAATATTTTTACAACCAAAAACCCGTGTTCGATGGCCGGCGCAATATGTACACTAGAGAACCTCTTCCTATCAGCAAAGAAAAAGTGAGTTCTCCGACATGATGCGGTCCTCTCTTGTGTAGTCTTATTCGATCTGGCTACTTAGATCATCGGTCCTTCGCGATCTGGTATTGTACGTATCTGTTCAGTTCAGATAAATCAAGTAATTGTGATCCCACCGTAAAAGTGCGGTGTTTCTGGCTATCACGATTCGCATCGCTATGCTGACAACAATCCACCGCTGTTAAAGGAGGTTGTGGGAAAATAAAAATAATACAAAGCAGAGGACAAATTGTATACGTGCTTCAAGCAATCAGTAGGAAAGGAAGCATTGGTGGCTTTAGCAAGAGAACCCTGCAGACTGCGCACTGTTTTTGCTCTCGTGCGATGGAGAACTTCAGCGGAAAAGGCCTCAAATTTTAATCGACAAACCGACAGCAACTCATTTAGCGTGCAAGCGAATCGTCTCTGTGTCTCGAGAAATTTCCGTTCTCGTTCCAGACAGGCGTCGATATGCGCCGACGCGATCCTGGTCAGATTGGTGTTGTTTATCGGCAACCTGTTCCTAGACAAGGTCTTGGCGAATCGCGGCGGGGAGGAACCTGAGCGAATACATTCTTCAGAAAACTTCACACGGACGCGTTCAACAGCTAACTTGCAGCGTAGAGACAACAACCGGTCTAATGCTCTCGCAACGGTAGCGGGGAGTGTTCTTTTCAGAAAAGTAAAACAGTGGGTCCCCTTCAGCCATTTCGTTAAGGCAGAGAGAAGACAGAGGTTGCGATATGTCAACATTTCGATTGTTCTCCTCAGTCGCAAACACAATACGATCAGAAACATACAAGGGATTATATACATGGGAAAAAAAGGCACTACCAATCAAAATGTCACAGTCAGGACAATGGCAACCGAATGGATTGCCTCAAGAGTTTCTGTGCACATAGCACAGGTTGATAAGCCTTAATTAACAACGCCTCACTAATTGCTAGCATTATCGGGTTTTTGTTACGTAATAACACTTTGAACGCTGTCTCGGGGTTTACGTGATGACGGGTTGTCATGAGGTGCTTGATGATAGACGATGCCGGGCTCCGATTGATTCTCAGATTCGTCCCATGTTGTTGCGTAATCACCTGTCCCAACCACTTTGGCAAGTGTTCAGCTACCCTCTGAGCTAACTGACGGTTTGTTCTACCTATGTAAATGTCACCGCAACCGCAGGTGAACTGATAAACAACGTGAGAGGCCGAACTACCCGACGAGATGCTCTGACGGTTATGAAGAACAAGTGCTCGCGTGGTATGCCTGAGTCGCAACTGGGCTGTCGTGTAGGCTCGCGTTAGGGCGGACCGGAGCTTGCGTCCGATGTCATTTGCCACATGGTCCCCCTTGAACGGCAAGAACAAATAAACATTCTTTTTCTCAGCCGTCAACACCGGTATTTTCGGGACCAGTTTTAGCCGACATCTTCCTCGGCCTGATAGAAAGACAAGTTGCTGAGAGCATTGGTGAAGCGAAATTGTATAGACGATATGTGGATGACATTTTAGTCTTCACCAGCGGAGAACATTTTAATCGGCTGCTGACCATCCTAAATTCGATTCACCCTAATCTGTCCGTATCCCATGAAGTGGAAAAACACCACTGCCTGGCGTTTTTGGATATACTCATTAGGCGACAGCCTGAAGGTACGTTGCAGCGCACTGTTCACCGCAAATCGACTTGGACTGGACAGTACCTTCATTTTTCAAGCTTCGCCCCGATCGCATACAAACGCGGGTTAGTGAGAACTCTCTTCTACCGGGCTAGACGTATTTGCAGCCCCGAAACGTTACAAGCCGAAGAAGAATTTCTACGCAAGACCTTAATTTCTAATGGATATCCTGAGAAGTTTATTCAGGTACACAGCAGACCTCCCAGCGTGAAAACACCGGTGTTGACGGCTGAGAAAAAGAATGTTTATTTGTTCTTGCCGTTCAAGGGGGACCATGTGGCAAATGACATCGGACGCAAGCTCCGGTCCGCCCTAACGCGAGCCTACACGACAGCCCAGTTGCGACTCAGGCATACCACGCGAGCACTTGTTCTTCATAACCGTCAGAGCATCTCGTCGGGTAGTTCGGCCTCTCACGTTGTTTATCAGTTCACCTGCGGTTGCGGTGACATTTACATAGGCAGAACAAACCGTCAGTTAGCTCAGAGGGTAGCTGAACACTTGCCAAAGTGGTTGGGACAAGTGATTACGCAACAACATGGGACGAATCTGAGAATCAATCGGAGCCCGGCATCGTCTATCACCAAGCACCTCATGACAACCCGTCATCACGTAAACCCCGAGACAGCGTTCAAAGTGTTATTACGTAACAAAAACCCGATAATGCTAGCAATTAGTGAGGCGTTGTTAATTAAGGCTTATCAACCTGTGCTATGTGCACAGAAACTCTTGAGGCAATCCATTCGGTTGCCATGGTCTTGACTGTGACATTTTGATTGGTGGTGCCTTTTTTTCCCATGTATATAATCCCTTGTATGTTTCTGATCGTATTGTGTTTGCGACTGAGGAGAACAATCGAAATGTTGACATATCGCAACCTCTGTCTTCTCTCTGCCTTAACGAAATGGCTGAACGGGACCCACTGTTTTACTTTTCTGAAAAGAACACTCCCCGCTACCGTTGCGAGAGCATTAGACCGGTTGTTGTCTCTACGCTGCAAGTTAGCTGTTGAACGCGTCCGTGTGAAGTTTTTTGAAGAATGCATTTGCTCAGGTTCCTCCCCGCCGCGATTCGCCAAGACCTTGTCTAGGAACAGGTTGCCGGTAAACAACACCAATCTGGCCAGGATCGCGTCGGCGCATATCGACGCCTGTCTGGAACGAGAACGGAAATTTCTCGAGACGCAGAGACGATTCGCTTGCACACTCAATGAGTTGCCGTTGATTTGACGATTAAAATTTGAGGCCTTTTCCGCTGAAGTTCTCCATCGCACGAGAGCAAAAACAGTGCGCAGTCTGCAGGGTTCTCTTGCTAAAGCCACCAATGCTTCCTTTCCTACTGATTGCTTGAAGCACATAATACAAAGCACTAATTGCAGCACCGTCATCGAATCCTCGACCGCATTTACTATGAGATCTCCAGCATCAGCTATCACGAGGTCTTTGTCCACCGCTTACCTAGGAGGGCCTTGTTCAATCTACCAGGTGTAGGATGGCGCAAGGCTCGAGGTGGACAGAAGTTGACTTGTCAGCGGGAAATGAAGTCACTGACAACCAAACTGGGTGCCGTTGGTCCGTCTCACCTTCCGGGTTGGAGTCCACGTGACTCACCTTGTGCTTGGCTCGAGACTTTGCAGGACATGGCTCACAGTAGACACCAGTGGCGCGTCTGCTGCCGTCTTCTAATCGGATTGCCTGTTAAAAGTATGTTTGGTGCTGAGTTATCTGCGGGATAATGGCTGATTATGACGCGTGGCAGTGAAAGCCGCAAGGAAGCTGTCTCGCCGATGTCGCCTTATTTTTGCACGATAGCCAGCTGTTTGTGAGGGTATGTTGTCTACACAAGGTGTAGGCGCCTTGACCCTGAATGTTTGTTTAGGGCATTAAGGTTTTCAGGTAAGTCCCCCTTCTCTCTCTCTTATTCTTTATTTCATAGGTCCTCATGGTTGTATGGCGGCGAAGCATCAGTTCAAATGGCTGATGTACTGTTGTTGATGATGATGATGTCCACCAACTAAAGAAACTATATATATTTCTCGATTTACCTAGAGCTCGCACGTATCAGCTTTTACGTAATATACTTTTTCATATATGTAGACATTTGGATGAGTACATACAACGAGATGGGAAGTGTAAATATTTTTCTGAAACCTATGTATGTGTGCACTTGACAACATATGTGACAGGAAGTCGACTAAATCGCCGTAAGTACCCCGTCGCGTACACGTTTGACAACGTGATATTCAGTTTTCAAGTCCATTGTAGGCTGAATGGGATATACTAAGACCATTGGGAGTCACACCATGTGAATTTGTTTTGGAGCTCCGGGCTTACTTAAATCTATTTGGGCCTCCAAATGCTCTCTTGAAGATTTGTTCTGCTTCTGTTTTTGCCCTCCGTTTCTTCTCTGCTGAGGACTTTAATATTCGTCAACCAACGCGTATGGGAAGGTGTATAGATCGGAATGGAAAGCGGTGCATATTATCCCCTTCGTACACAGGCAAAAACATTTTTTCCCCAAAAATTGTTTCTGTTGATACTGATGTACCAGACTTCTGAACATAGTGGACGAAAAACTGATCATTGGTTATCCATTATTGAAACGAGAGCATGTGTACACAAAATTTGAACTTTTTCGCATATGCAAGTATGTGCACATTGTGTATGAAGGGGTTATTGTGGAAGTAATGATATGGTACGGGGCAGTTAACTACACAATGTACTGAGGAGCCCGTGGGCTAATACTGCATACTGACTTAAAGGTTGAGTTTTTGGTATGCGGTTTTATATCGCCTTCTTTTTGAACGTGAGTGCTTAGACAGCAGATACAACAGAGTATGAACAAGCTGTAGAATATGAATAAGGATTGGAGTTGGCAAGTCGGTCGTTGCCGCTCATCATCTGTGGCCAATAGGACAGGGCGTCTACTTTGCAACCCCCGGAGGTCACGGGTTCGAGCCTACGTAGGGGACCGGGTGACCCTCGCGCTACTGGTGGTGGTTGCTTGTCAGCGAAGCGTCGTTATCACGTGCTGTTGATACCTCTTTATCCTCCGTGTTTCCGTACTTTTAACCACAGATGCCGATGTGTCAGGTTAAGTTCCGCAGTGGACAAATGCACTGCACATTGCTGACGATCCCTTAAAGGATAAACGGTCATCGACTGTTTTTCCTGATATGCAGGAACTGTGTGACTGTAGCGAATCTCCTCCAGACGTTTATTACAAGCCATTCCTTTCACCACTTTAAAAAACAGTTTGTGTTGCTTTTTCGTCCTGCATGTGGACATTACAGGCGCAGCGCCTTCACGACTGGGTGAAACAGCTTGCTTTTAGGTGCGCTATAATGAGGGGAAACTACGAAAATCCAAAGAGGGTAGGTTTTTGCCCCCTTCATTGCTAGGCAACTTGAGTCCTGACCCAAACAGGTACAGCTGCGTTGAACAACTCGCACCAAAGGAGACATGTGGGGAAGGTGATCCTGCCAACGTTGTCAGCTTAAGCACAATGGTTTACCCATTGTGGCAATATAACGTCCTGTATCATTACCAGCGGACGACTATCAGGATCGAAACCGGTTCTCCGTATGTATAATTATGAGAATTTTACAGGTTTAATGAACTCACTGGGATTACTCCGTTTGGTTGGCGCCAGAAAATATGGACACTTGCCCATCTATCGGCACGGTCTCGGCTCATCTTGTGTACCGAGCAGTTTTACACCTTCTTTTACTGTTGTGGCTAACTTCCATACTCTGGTTGTCGATTAGATATCAAGCCCTAGGGCATAAGTATCAGGTTACTCTTGCAGGACCCTCTTTTCTCAGTTAGCTGTGATGAATCTCCCTAATGTTCTTCATTACTTTTGTGCACACTACACGCAGTCTCTTTTACCCTCATCCTGATTTTCGGATCGGGTAATGAATCAAAACTCACCTGAACTTGTGGTCTTTGAGATGTAACACGTTGTCTCCTTAGCATTGGGCGAGTCTGTTATCGCGTGATTGTTGTCCGCTGCTGTCGGATTAGATGGCGATCTCAGTAAACCTTAGTACTTCACAGGCCGCAATTTTTCTTTTTTAAGGATACGTGATTGGACACCATCTTATTCTCGTGCCGTTCGTCACCAACTCGCTCTGTCCTGTTCCCTATTCAATTACCTACTTCTGGTTGCGCTTGATCAAGTGTCACTACTTCTTCTTATATCAGGTTGTTTGTGGAACAACATAACTAGAACAGAATCTTCGTCGCTGTCGATTGAACCAAACCTAAACTTACCACCTTTGTTGTTCGCCAACTATCAAACCTTTGAACCCCATTCCATTTTAACCGCAATCATATTTGACACAAAGTGATCTGATAGCTGGCACATACTTAGGACATAATTTCATTCTCTGGTCTTGGCTCGTGTGACAATTTTGCGCATGCTATTACTGTACATTATCATATCCTTTTCCAGGTTGAACTCGAGGTCACTCTACCCGGCGAAGGCAAAGATCGTGTCTTTCGTGTAGCAATAAAGCACGTATCGGAGGTCTCCCTATTCGCCTTGGAAGAAGCCTTAGGCGGACACATTCGACACATTCCAAATGATGCAGTTATATCCCTGGATGTAATAATGCGACATCTGCCAAGTATGAGGTGCGTTGACAGTCGTACTCACTAGCCATTTTGTTAACCGATTTATCAACGGATTGTGAATATGAATTGTTTGGTTTATTTCTGGTGTCTTCTGGTTTCTTTCGTGGTGTGTATGTGAGGCGGGTTCATACGCCTGGCCTGAATCTTCTGAGTTCAAGTCACCTCTCCTGCTTGGATTTGAACGCCTTGGCAGTCTCCTAACCTGCGCGCAACTGCTTGTGGTTGCACAGCAGCCATCTGTCAATACAGAGTACTTGTATTCCACTGGTAGCTGCTCTTTCTGCTAGTTTGTTTCTGGACAACTCGAGACCGGGTACTCTTGTATGGTCTTATTGGTGAAGCTGTTGATTGTGTAAGTCATCAGGAGTACACCAGTACGAAGTGCCGATGCTTGGCTGCCCTGCAACCATCATCAGTCGCGCGTCGGCTAAGGATACTTCAGGGGTCATCCGGTTCCTATGCAGGCTCGAATCCGCGCCCTCAGGTTACAAGACAGGCTTGTAATCCTTAGGACCACGCACCGGCTGTTGATTGTTTAGGTGTCTTAGTCCCATTGTTGAAATCAGATACAACAGAGTGAAAATTCCGTAGCACAACTCACAAGGCTGCTCATCGTGATCCTTTGTCAACTAGCGTCATTTTCATCGAATTTACCATTTGATTGCCAGACCTGCACTTGTGCACTACAGCTTCATTTGTGAAACACCGCCGTGATTGAATACGTTGCATGATCAACTTCATGGTCATATATGTTTAATAGCCCACACTTGTTGCATCTGTTCCGTTCGTAACATGCCAACCTCTTCTTGTTTGTATTGTGCCTACTCACCAACTTCCTGAATTCGTTGATTAGTCCGTGAAGCCTTTTCGACTATGACTTTCCCGTAGTTACATTTCGTGATATGTCACCATTCGGTGCCCTGTTTCTTAGATAACACTGCATTCTCTTTCCGATTTTGGAACGATCTTACTATTTTACCCTATCCGCATTTTCCTTGTGCTCATTCTCTTTTGGGAAACAAGCGTGGCACAGAGCTTTACAAAGAGCCTATCATTCGTCCCGTCAATCTTTGTCGTTGCCTCCACTCTTTCTACAAGCGACTTTTTGCAAGGTTACCCAGGTGTAAGCGCCCTCTGTTGTTGCTCATGTACTTTCGGCGTGCATTCGGCTTCCTTACTGCGGTTTAGCTACATGTGGCACATTGGCGCTGTGTGTTTACGTGCTTTATGTGGGGATCTGCTTACCAGTGCCCACAAATCTGATAGCACTTCGATCGCTGTGCTCATGAGACTACCAACGTGTGTTAGTAGTAGCGCTGTGGTACATCGTTCTCGTAACAATTCTGGGCGTACCTAATGACATCATGGCATAGCTATGTCTTTGTACGCGTCTAATAAGGCATTTCCATCTTACTTTAGACATCGAATAAATGGTATTCGAAACTTTCGTGTAAGTGGAATATATTATTTATTTAACCACACTATCTGTGGTACAGATATTGTGCCATCTGAATTTTGACGGAATATGAGAATTGGATCGAAGTAAGAAAGGAAACTAACATTTTTGTCCAATTTCCCCTCACAGTTTTAAGTTTTTTTTGTCAGTTTGTTTTCCTAAAGGTGGGAAAGGGAATCACCGCAACACGTAGAGATGCACGTCCGCCACTGATGTCAGTTTTGAGCCATTCTTTCTAGGGTCTCCAACCAGCGACACTCCGTGTCTCTCTGGGACCCCAACTAAGGGGTCGAGAATAATCAACCGAAACCAATTGCTTTGTCAGGTTTCTCATTCCCCTTCTCCAACTCGTAGGCTGTCCACCGCGCTGCTTTCTTCAACCCTGCCTAGCAACCGCCAACAATGCACGACGCGGATGGCGCTAAGCGGGCATACTCAATACCCACAGAGCGCGCATACACCATGGTTTTGCATGTCGCATCCGCAGTTCCTGGGCATTTTTGTAACCTGGGATTCTGCCGCAGTGATTCATCCCTGTTAGGAATCGTTTTTCAACTTTAGCTTATTCGTCGCTCCCGTTCTGTTAATTCACTTCTAATTCTTCCTGGGTTTCGCTGTTTGTGAGACTAACTTCCTGATGATACCGTGCACGTCACCTGCAATCTTTCACGTGGACTCTGGCCTCTTGTCACAGTTCACATCTATCTTAGCGGTTAAACAGAGATGCTTAGATTTTACCACCGACAGTATTTTTCACCTGTTAGACTGCTTCCGACCACAACCGTCCCGCGTTTCGTTACTGAGTGCACAACGTTTGACCGCTTGATGGAGACCATTGCGGTAATATTTACCAACAGCCATCCATGTTAACTATGTGAGTCTGGCACGTCCCTGTCTGTGCTGTCATCATTTTCGTTGGAGTAAAGAATCAACCGCTATACTTTCCCCTTTTCTCCTGTAGCTACACCCCGGTCGGACGCTCTTTCTTTCAAAACCCGGATGGTTACGAAAACCCCCTTGGTGGTGGACGAGAAGTCTGGTTTGGTTTTCATCAGAGTGTCCGGCCTTCACAGTGGCGCATGATGCTTAATATTGATGGTACGTTACCCATGTCACCTGCAGTATGATTAACTCGTCATATGAATTGCTACTTCTTGTATTGTCGCTGATCTGATACAGGTTCCCGACTGCTGTTTCACTTGCGCGCGATTTGTATTTCCAAATAATATCTGACCTCTCCTGGCTCTAGGAGGCTGCCAGTCGTTGTTGACGCAGGTGAAGTACAGTCCCTACAACAGAGCTGGGATAGAGTCAAGGTCCCATTTTCATCTAAGTAACTAAGAAATACTGACTTTTCGTACGTTAATTATCCACCAAATTTACATATAACCCAGCGCGGTGTGTTGTACTAACCTTCTCCAAGTAATGAGGGTACCACCTTTCAAATTCCCCCACTTATGGGTGATAGGTATGGCGCTGGAGTGGGTGTTGACCTAGAGAGAAGCGCATACTTTTCCATCTTATTTTGTCGGATTCGCACTGTAAATGTGGTTTGTTTGTGATGTAGCACAATCTAACTGACCACTCTATGTAGTTCCGACGTCCTGTGATGGCTGTCTCAGCCATAGAGACAGGTTCAGCCGAAACTGCATGACACCGACCACGTTTCTCGCGTATGGATCAGTTCATGTCAGCAGTATACTGGCGATTCGACTTTCATTCCAATGCGAATATGCTTTAGAAGCTGGTGCCTCAGTATTTCGCTGCTAGAAATATACCGTGGAACACATCTCGTTGGCCGACTAATAACCTGAGACGACTGAGTTGCATACTTAGACTCATCTGTCTCAGCGGTAGTTATTCGTTTTACCTGTTCGTCGCTGTTTGTCTGCTTGCGATGTCGACTATACCCCACTCTTCCAATAGTATGCGTATGCGACGTTGTAAGATTTACCCGCCACTCCGTTTACTATTTATGATATTCATGTCACAACAAATGCGTTGTATCCGTGATACGCTTTTCATATGGTCACATCTTTTCCAAGACGATCCATAACCTTGGGGCAACACAGCCTCACAGTTTGTGTCAACGATCCTCACCATTTGTCCCTCGTTTACTGCCTCTCACATTTCTTTTTTGTGTTCGCCTAATTTCAGCCTAGAGAATCGTTTGCGCACCTTTTCTTTTCTTCGATAGCTACCAATGCTATTCGTTTGTTTAGCCCTAGGTCGTTTTTTGTCTTTCGGGCAACACGTTGACAGCGGGCAGATTGGCAGTAACATCTGGCGACGCAGGAATGTTCGTTGACGCTATCTTTAGCGGCGTTTTTGTTATTCTAACAATGATCTTAAATCACTTCTTTCCACTTTCATTCTCATGTTCACATATTGGTTAATCTCTTTCGGTCCTAGTCTCCGCCACTGCTTTCTACAAGGCACAATCGGTCATCGATTTCATGTGCGAGGTACTGGACATATCAGATAAGAACGAACAGCGTCGCGCATTGACCGACAGTCAACGTGTCAAATTTACTAAAGAGATTAAAGGTAAGTATATACTCATGACCCGCTGGCCTGTGTTACGACGCTTTCGTGCGACTTGTTCGTGCTTCCTGTCTTCTATCATTACTGCCTTTAACCTTATCATTTTTCAGGTCTAAAGGTCGAAATCACCCACTGCGGCACAATGCGTCGAAAGTATCGCGTCTGCAACGTCACAAGGCGTCCTGCACACACCCAGTCTTTCCCACTCCAACTGGAAACAGGTGCCACCATGGAGTGTACCGTTGCCAAGTACTTCCAAGAACGATACAACATTCGTCTCGAGTGAGTTGATCACTGGTCACCACTGCTCGTTCTTTAGTACTGCAAGCTGTGCGGTTTTCCAGCGAACAGTTGTTATCGATTTTTTGCAATGGGTGCTAACGAGCTTACATTCCCCTCTCCCGAAGCTAGTCGAAATTTATCTATTAATTACTTTGTAGGCAATTAAACTCAAGGCCAAAGGTCATAAGGAACTGTGACCCGGATCAAATGGGATTGTTCTGTGTGCATCTGTTATCGTTTAACTTTTAACCCCAGTAGCCTGAGCGATGAATTGTCTGCTTTCTCACGCGAGTGCGTTTTTATCTGTCCGACACGTGTTTTTAACGGAACATATATACTGTTCCCCGAGTGCAGTACGCCGGTACTTTGTACCCGTGCTTCGCTGTCACGCAACTGCCACTAGTCGCGTGAGGTCTGGGGAGTCCACGCGAACTCATGAAAGCTCGAACCGATCACCGTTGGATTGCAATCCGGACACTTGGACCACTGGGCCACTAGCTGGTGAATTATGAAGCCCCTAGACTTTACACACACGATCTGTGCAGATGGTAACCATGGCTCTAGAAACCAACGTTGGGGCATTGAGCAGGAGCAACAATACCGGAACTGATAATGAACTCAATTGATTTCGATGCTTAAAATGCTCGCTACTCAGCTACATTACCGACCGTTAGGGTTTAAGAATGTAACTAAGGCACACAAATGAGATGGGACTGGGTCCATGATAGGAATCGATCCCAGTAGGGGGTCGGGGGAATGCGCACCACTGACGGGCCCCAATAGGGTTAAACGTGTCTGGTGCTTTTCCGGATTGTGGTTGAGCTATGTAGCTTGTGGGCTGCTAAGACGAATACAATAAAAATTAAAAATTACTTCTTACACACTTTATACACAACATGCTCGCATTCAACGCAAAATAACAAAACCACACCGCGATTTTTTATATATCCGATCCTTGAGCGGGGCTTTTTTCTCATCTAATGAATCAGCCGATGAGTTAATGACACTATCTCTATAACTGTCTTCCACTTTTGCTATTCTCAGCCGTTTTCGGTGTTATTCCACCTCTTCGGGTTTGGGCAGCTCTGCTGTGATTCAAGTCAGCAAACTCTTGCCTACTCGATTCGTTATTTGCAGTATGCCTCACTGGGAACAATTGTAACGGGTTAGGAGTTCGTTTTGATGCGTAATCTGCCTGGAGTTCTTATCTACCCGGATTGCAACCTGCCGTTCCAGATGCGACCTCATTTTGCTTTAACTTAGATCCTATCATTTTAGTTTGAAGAAGCTCTTGCATCAACAGTGAGACGTAGCTTCAATAAAAGCTTCAATAAAAGCCGATTTGTATCCCAACCGTTGCGAACTTATACTTCATTTCCCCTACTTATCGGTGAACATCCACCTGACTTCCTCGATGAAATTCCTTGTCTACGGCCTGACGTACCTATGTAAACAGAGGTAAACAGGCTAACACATTCCTCTGGTTTGCCTGTTCACATGCCGTTTTTTATGTATAGTATGGAGCATTCCAACTAGGCTTCAACTCGAGAAGCCGTGTTATCGCCGGAATCTGAATCTGTTGACATTTAATTTCCTCTTGTGCTTTAACCCGCGGAACTTCAAACAGCTACTGACTGCAGCTCGAATCGAAGTACTCTGTATGTCAGCGAACTTCGTTACTTGAATTGTGTTCGATATTTGCAAGTTCTACATATTTACTTCTTCCGATCTCATGAATCACAGTTGTGCTGTATTCCTTTAGATATCCCCATCTTCCTTGTCTCCAAGTCGGACAAGAGCAGAAACATACCTACCTACCTCTTGAAGTCTGCAACATGGTCGCCGGTCAACGTTGTATTAAAAAACTAACGGATATGCAGACTTCGACTATGATTAAGGCTACAGCTCGATCGGCCCCAGATCGTGAGAAGGAGATCAATAATCTGGTACGATACAGAATTTGTTCCCTTGCTCCAACCTTTTCTTTGGTACTCGTTCTAGCTTTTTTCTTTGGCAAACTCCACACGTTGCTTTATTAAACTGTCATGATCGCACTTTAGTGGTTGATCGATTTTCTGGAGTTGGTTATCATATAGAATGACGTTGGACGACATTGGTATTGACCAGAAGCAGTCGAATTTTCTATAAAACAAGTGAATATCTAGCGCCTTTAACCTATTAGGTGAGATGAAGCCTAACTGCGCTTTGTGAGGTGGAAAAACGCTCCTTTTGTATGATCTGCTCCTTATTAACACTAGAGTCCTCCCGACTGCTTTTGCCTCCCCTTTGGAGGGAGTTCTCCCGCGTGTTTAAATCGTGCGATAAATTTATTCCACATCGGATACCGCTAGCCGCGCCACTCTTGAGCCGCGTGCTTTGTTCCCTTCAACAGCCAGAGTACCTATTTTTGTGGTGTTGGCTTACTCGTCTCGTATGCTTTGTCCATTATATCAATGCCTGATTTGTGGATCTTCTCGACTTGCTAAATGAAACATGTTCACTCAGTTGCGGATTCAGGCCGATACGTAGCTCAGTCACCATGCCTCAGGCTACAGCGTATCTAACTCTTGTTGCATTGAGCTAATATCATCTTTCGGTTACTACATTCCTTATTGATTATTGTTCTCAGCTTATTGAAATGTCTACTGCTTATCAGCCCGAACCCACCTCATAGAACCATTGTTGGCTGTGCCAGCCTCCTATTATCTCACTCACGCGTATGAGTTAAAGTCCTGTTCCCAATGGGAAGACTGAATCTGTCCACTGCTTGTTGTGTCGTCGTGTTCAGTGTTGCGAACATATACGACAGGTTTTTTCTGAGTCTCGATTCAGTTCAACGAGCAACTACGCTTATTTTCCTCTATTTGTCGCGCATTCACCTTCTCGAAACCACATCCCCAATGTTCACCGCCTTCCCAGGTCAAGCGCGCCAACTTCAACGCCGATCCTCACCTGCAAATGTTCGGCATCAACGTGAACACGCGGATGGCCGAGATACAAGGTCGCGTTATTGCGGCGCCCAAAATCCAGTACGGCGGTCGTACGAAAGCCCAGGCCTCACCGCAGCTCGGTGTGTGGGATATGCGGGGAAAGCAATTCTTTTGGGGAATTGAAATTAAGGTGTGGGCAATCGCATGTTTTGCTCCCCAGCGGATTGTCCGGGAAGATTCACTCAGGTCAGTATCCATTTTTGTGGCCTTTATCTGTTATACATTTACTGAATACTGTAGTATAGGAGTAAGTGAAAATTTGTATAAGTACAACTCCACCGAAATCTGTTAAAAGCGTTTGGGAAGACTATGACCTGTCAACACCCTCATCGGTTTCTGAGTTCTCACGTGATATCGTAGAACAAACGTGTAACTCACGGCCAATTGGGACTCACAAATGTGCCATGTCAGTGAGTAATCGTTCTCGGAATTTAACATCTTAGAAATGTCCATCCAACAATGATTTTACCTGCGGTATTGAGTTTGCTTACACTATATGCTCCAGCAAACTATCCTAAACGTTGACCACTCGCCGTTCAAAAGCACATGAAACGCGGAACTCGCTTCAGATCTGGCACCACAAGCTTGTACTGGTGTCTGCGTGTGACGTAAGGTGTTCGCAAGTGGGGCAATGTCTTCAGCATGGAAAAGTTACCTAGATGTAGAATGCGGTAGGTCTAATCGCAGCTGATCATAGGCCAGGGTGTATAGCCCCAGCTTCTCTCACGGTAAGCCCCGTAAACTGTGGATTAGCCTGGTAGCAACGTGTTGTGGACGTTCATTCTTCTGCGCCTTGCTTTGAGTGGTCGGGCAATAGGCGGGCGAGCCGTACTCTAGCGTTGGTCTGATGATGAAGGAGAAGTATCTAGTGGCAACCTCTTCAGACAAGATGCAGAAACTCCGTTTGAGCACTCAGAGCATACGCAGTCTGTTTCAGTGTGCCTTGTTGTATACAGACTTCAAATCTCAACGTGAAACTGCACATGGGTCCTTCACGAGGTCTGTGATGTGGTAGTTGACCGTCTTTAGTGTAGCTTCGGCCGTCACCACTCTTCCCTAAGCTCATGAATGCCGATTTGGAGAGCTTGACCTTGGAGGACGTCTGGAAATCACCTGAAAAGACGGTTGAGATCTTGTTGAAGTAGGCCGCAATTATCGGGCGTGTTTAGCACTCTCCATACCCTCATGTCGTCTGCAAACAAGGCACACGACGACCGAAGAAGCTGAGTTACTTTAGATCGTTGATATAAATCAGGAACATTGTAGGCCCCCAGCAGCGTGCCTTGTGGTATGCCACTAGTCTAAGGATACCAGTCTATCAGATGGCTATCGACTTGTGTCCCACACTTTCATCCAACGAGAAACTGGCGGATCCACTAGCGCAGCGAGCCGCCAACATCGCTTACTCTCAGGTTATAAAGGAAAATCTCATGCTTTACCTTGTCGAATGCTTTGTTGTACTCGATTTTGATCATATCGGAAGACCCCCTGATTCACTGCTTGCAATTACTCATGCCTCGTCGCGAGCAGGTTGTTGATACGTTAACGACTAGGCATGAAACCATGCTGTGCGTCAAGTGATATTTTGACCGGAATAGCTGTAGCGAACTCTTCCTCACAACCCTCTCGGCAACCTTGGCCAAAATGTGTCATACAAATTGGTCTGTAGCTGTCTACCTTGCTAGCATTACCACCTTTTTGAATGAACTTTGCCACCGAACATTTTCAATCAGTTGGACCAGTTGGACACGTCAATCACAGCAGGCGAAATGATGGCTGATAAGGGGTTGAGAATCAGGGGATGGCGCCCTTTCGGCCCAGCAGGTTTGGCGCCGTCAAGATTGGCGAGTAGTTGACGCACCTCTTCTACTCCACAATCCTCCACACTGTCGAGTTTGGTAAAGGCGGTGTACGTCGAACGGTATATGGTTGGCGGCATCCGGTTTCGGATTTGCCTGTCACTGTGGCCAGCCACAGGACGCCTGCACCTACAGAGGGACCATGGGTGACTTGCGCTGCACCACCCACAGCTCCAACCACACCCCCCATATCCAGTGTAAACCCGAAGGAATAAGACCGGGAGGCATGTGGATGGGAGCCACGTTTCATCAACGGAGCCGGCCCACACTCCTTCACAGGCAACCACAAGCACGCTGTATTTGGGGAATCAAGCGCACACAAGGCGGTGGCTGGACCGTAGTCCGCTCCACACTGAGTGCATGGAACCGCTCTTCGAGTCTAGCACGGCCACAAGGACCGTGCACCCCGTCCCCTCCAGCAACGACCAACTGTCTCCTGGAGCCAGTATGGACGAGGTAGTGGGTAATAGACAGGTAGGCACCTTGTCAACGTACACATCAAGCGCAGCCACACCGGGGATATCAAACAACAGCCAATTACTTGAAAGATAACAAAGCAACTAAATCGAGTAATGCATAAGGAAACGGTGACATATATCTTAAAGTAATGAGCATCTGAAGTAAATTGTTTACAGAAGAATGCGAGATAAGTTCACGTGGTCAGAAAGTATACTTTACGGAAATGCCACAAACGCAAAAATGTTTTCGTAATAACTACAAGTGGCTTAAGCGACGTGTGCAAGTGTATAGAAGAGAGTATAAGTAGGCATTTAAATGGGCAAGAAAAGCATTAGGACAAAATTGAAAACCCGCCACCTGAAATAAAGAGATTTAGCATGCAAGCACGCTGTTAGTAAATCGAATGCAGCGTACCTACAAACGCTGCGCTGGTTCTGCCTACGTTCTCTGCAGGACCCGTCGTCGCTTCGGTAGTGGTCCCGAGTGGCCTCGCTCATGACTCACTAGACCTGCCTGACTCAAGCACTCGCGACCGCATGTGCTACAGCACCATGCACTCGATGTCGATGGAGTACAACCCATCGGTGCTTGCCGCTTCCGCAATTGTCGCTTCTTCTCTGCATGTATGAGGTCTTTTTTCCGCACTTCGGCAACTGCCTTCGTGATGAGATCGCGCCATACACGCCGATCAACCGTCTTTGATTCCCATGACCTGCAATCAAGATTAGAACGTGAGAGGCTCACTTTGATCATGTCCTGGTAACGTAACTTTGGTTTCCCCACATGCCGCTTCTCAATACTCAGCTGACCATATAAGAGTTGTTTCGGTATCCGCGTTGAATCCATACGACTCACATGACCGAGCCACCTCGGGTGTTTCAGTAAAAGTATGCAGTCCACTGCATACATCCCACTTTGTCGCAACACTTCTGTGTCAGCAACTCTGTCGCTCCAACTGATGCGCAAAATTCGTCGCAGACACTGCTGATGGAACCACTCGAGATATCGCACATCCCGCCGGTACATTGTCCACGTTTCACTGCCGTATAGAAGAACGGACAGCACCATGGATTTGTACACCATCAGCTTCGTGCCAGTGGTAAGCTGATGGTTGTTCCACACTCGGTACTCTAGCTTCCCTAATGCCGCCGCTGCTTTCGACACGCGGATACGCAGCTCACTGTGTAGCTGCTGGTCAGTCGACATCACACTTCCAAGGTAGCAAAAGCGGGAGATGGTTTCCAATACTTCAGCACCAATGCTGATTCGCGGCAATATTGAAGATTGCACCTCCGGTGAAGGCTGAAAGAGACAGACAGTTTTTCTTGTGTTGATGGTGAGCTCGAATTTGGCCGCTGTCGAAGCCAGAGCACTAGTCATGTGCTGCAACTCATCCGCGCTGTGTGAAAACAACGCACAGTCGTCAGCAAACAGCAACATACGGATAATTGTCTCACAGACTAGTGTTCTCGCACCGAAACGACGGATGTTCAGCAACCCACCATCAATACGGTGCTCCACATGAACACCGTAAGCACAAGCGGCATCAAAAGCGCAAGACATCATTACATGAAGATAGATATTAAACAGGGCAGGAGCTAAGACAGCCTTGCTTCACACCAAAGCAAACTGCAAAGTTATCCGAGGTCTCTCCACTCATCTGCACCCTCGCTCGCATACCACTGTGTAGACATTCAATTAGACCTATAAACTTACGCGGGCAAGCAAACTTACACAACACCAGCCACAATGCCTCGCGGTTCACCGTATCAAATGCCTTGGTGAAATCAACAAAAAGCGAGTACAATGGCTGGTGTTGTTCTTCGCACTTCTCCTGCAACTGACGAGCCGCAAACACCATATCTATAGTGCTGCGACCCGAACGGAATCCACACTGCTCTTCCACCACGTTAGGTTCCACAACCTGACTGACGAGGCGGTTGAGCAGGATTCGGTCAATCACCTTGCCCACACAACTCAGCAAGTCGATGCCACGATAATTCGTGCAACATTGTTTGTTCCCTTTGCCCTTGTACAGTGGTAGCACAACGGAATCCTTCAGCTCAGGAGGCACCTCCTCCTCAATCCATACGCGTTGCACCAAGTGGTGCAGCGCAGTGAACAACGCGGGTCCGCCGTGTTTCAATACTTCAGGCGGGATTCCGTCGGCTCCGGCACACTTGCCGTTTCGCAGCTGAGCAAGTGCTCTCTGCGTCTCATCCAGTGTCGGCGTGTCCGCCAGACTCGCCTTCACATTGTTCTGCTTCATTCCGTTCAATGTAGACCAGTCGATCTCTGAACGGTTGTTCAAGAGACAGTCAGTGTTTTCGCCAGATCTGCATTATGTCTGCAGTCTGTGTGCAGGCAGCGCCTGAACTACCATCGATCAGTGTCCTCAGCGGCTCCAATCTCGGTCCATACACCGCCTTCAAGGAGTCAACGAATTTCTTGTGTTGGCGGCGTTCGGCGTAGCATTCCATCTGCTTCGTCTTCTCCGTCCACCATGCATTTTTAATGCGACGGAGCTCTCGGGTCAGTCGCCGTCGAAATGTGCGAAACTGACTCTTCTTCCCCTAGTCACTGGGGTCTGCGACATGTGCAGCAACTGCTGCTTTCCTCTACGACACCAATGCGTCGCATTGTCCTCATCAAACCAATCAGGCCGCTTGCAGTTTGCGCGTCCGATGGTCTCCTCGGCAGCAGCTGTCACCTGGTCGCGAATGTGGTGCCACAGGTCGCCCACTGAGGCTATGCAGTCCACATCACACAGGCGTGCAGCCATCGTCTTCTGCAGCTCAGTACATTTCGCCACAGTACCGGGGAAGAGAATGTTAAATTTACGCCGATTCACGGCAGCAGTGCAATACA